AATAAACAATACTGTTTAGCCTACACTATTATGGATTAACCAGACACACAATGCAGACATTTACGCACAACATAAAACTTATAATCGAAAAATTACAATTTCATACCGTTCATACCACGTGAACTGCTTGGCTGCTTCCGCGAGAAATCGTTACATTTCGCTTGCGATAAATTTTCAACACCATCCCCAAATCAATTCTATGTTAATGACACCAGGTCGTGCCGTACCTCGACAATATAATTTTCACCTAGCATCCTGCAGGGCACGCCTAAATGTTTATAGTTCGTTGTTATGATACGCGTATTCCTTGGATTTTATCATTCTAGATGCATCCATAATGTTGTATTACACTCGTGTGGTATTCTGGTATGTCCCAATACAAAATGCCTCAATGAGGGCAGTGCAATTAAAACTGTTTATCACTTTTTCTACCCTATTTTTCTTACCGTTTCTCCCTACTAGCCAATCATAAACGGTGACTCATCTATCTTAGAAGACGATATACATCTATCTATGTCGATGTCCAATAAACCAAGTACTATAACATAACCTCTTTGATTTTAACATAGCTTTCACTTATTTTTCATATTTGGCGCATTTTGAACTCTGGATATTATTTCATTCGTAAAATAAGAAGATGAATCTTCTCCTGGCTTCGCAAGTCGGGGACTTATCGACAAACTGAAGCAGTCGTGGTATTACCTTGGTAATTTCTGAGGAGTGTATGAAAACATAAAGACAAATAAATGGAAAAATTTATTATATTAAGAAGTAATTTATCTGAAGTTACAATTAAACAATAATCTGTTAAGAAGTCCTTTACAATATTAAAAGCAACTGACGATACAATAGTTGCAAAACATACACCCGCCATTCTATCTCACAGCCATAAAAACAAATCTCATTTTCAATTTTTAGTATTTATTTTAGTTGCTTTAGAAACAACTACGATCTTTACCGACTATTATTATTTTACGTATGTAGTTATACATTTGTTCCTAACAACAAATATCACAAATTATAACATACTGTCATTTACTGTATAATATATTGTATATAAATGTATAATATTCGGAGATTTTAGTAAATGATGAATACTGTGAAATGTCACATTCATCACTTCCTTGTGGCGCAACACCAACACTTACTACACCCATTAAATAGTACTGTATACCGTTTCCGAATTTGAGAGCAAAGCCTCCACCACTGTCGCCGGGACAAACGCTTTTACCTGAAAATATGACATTCATTAGCATTTTTTCAACTAAACTTGAAACAACGAATACAGAAGAAAATACATGTTGAAGTGAACCAACAATAATGATATGTGTGTTCAACTTTTACTTCCATTTCAACATATTACTGAAGTTAAGATCCAAAAATCAATTTAAAAATAAACTTGTACTAACCAGAATTGGTTCCCACACAAAATTTATCATGGGCAATTAAATAAGGTATAAGACTCTCTTTAGTCCTCTCAATACAAACATTACGGTCTTCATAAGGCAAGGTGATTGCATGAAGTTCTTCACTCTGTGTTTGATTTTCTGTGTAGCCCCAGCCGACAATCTTAAACATGTAAATAAAAAAAATACAATTAGTGCACCCGAATTTCGAATAAAATCAATTAGGCAGAATCCTCAACAAGGAGAACAGTTGAAATTACACGCATTTTGTTATTTTAAAATGAGCATTAATTGCACAAAAATAAGAAAACTATATGATCGTGAGCATGGTTTGTTTAAAGATTGGTGTGTAAAAAACATATTAATTCCGTTTCGGGAAAAAACACGATAGTAAAGCTGAAAAACTAATGGTGCTAAATAGCACATACTTTCTCGCCTTCAATAACAGTTATGTAATGTTTCATACTAGTTATGTAATACATTTTTTAATAAATTATAAAAATGAATTAATGTTTAATCATTAGAAATTTTAGCTATTCCTTTTCCTTTACATCAAGCTCCTGGTAAATTTTTAAAACAAAAAGATAGCTCCGTTTTTTATTAAATTTTGTTTCAGAGTATAAAAGACAGTTATGGGAATGGTGGAGGTCTCATTTTCGTTAAAAACCCTGATTTTTCGAAAGTTGCAAAAATCCAAAAATTTCTTCATTCGCTGAAAATCTCATTAAAATCAAGGTAAAATTTTCTAGGAGTGCGGTTTTTTTCATTACTCCCAGTACACTAAGGGAAGTACCGTAAGAATTCTTATTAAGAAACTTCTCGCTCGATTTGAATGAAACACGCTACGCACACGGTGTTGCCGACTTGCGCTTTTCCGTCCCGATCCTCTAAGAAGCGTGCGAACATCTCCCTTCGGGATGACGACTTATTTTGCAACGTTTTTTCGTTTACAACTTCTCAACATTTAAGACTTCATTCCAGGAAGTACAGTGTACTCAAAATACTATAAATGTATATCAATTTTATATAATATATTTTTATTAAAGCGATATATTGCCAATTACAGTAAATTAGTAATTACCAGTCATGCAAATTTCTGAACAATAAATATTGTAATGAAATGTAACCATATGCATAAACATAAAACGACATCAAAAATATGGCTAACACAATGAAACGGAATTTCCCTAAAAACGACTGATTTTTCAAACAAATCATCCAACAATAAACCCCTAGTTTGCGAATATATAAAACCTGCAAAAGATAACCGTCATACGACTGCCGTGGATGAAAATGAGAATTATTTAAAATATGTATTTTATATACAAGTCGGAAGAACTTGGCCTGAGTCTCACCATGTAAAATAAGGCATCATTGAACTGAATCTCAAATAAAATTTTTCAATTATTTTTTTTTGTCTGGCAATACTTATATATCCCGCTAATATTCACTAAATTGGCCTACATTACAAACTGCGAAAACAATTTTTAAGGCAATGTAAAACGACTGTTATAAATATTTAAACTAGAAAGCAACGCAAATAATAACATACCACACCAACTTTTCCTGCCTTAAAATCTTCAGAATATCTTCTATCAAAGTCCAGACAAATAGGTCGAACAGCTTCATTTATGACAAAATTATTTGTCAAGGCAACAACAGCTATGTCTGCATCATATAATCCTGCTCTTCCTCTAAAACTCCTATGCACATAAATATTTTCAATCTGAAAAAATTCAAAAACATGACAGTTTTTTTCTGACATATTCAAAAATTATGTCGGGTCGTAAAAATGTACTTACTTTGGACTCCTGAAAATAGTCGGTTCTTTTATCCCATTGCAAATAGTACTTTCCAGCTGCTATTCTGTAGTTTTGTATACTGTCAACTCTACGTTCACTTTCCAGCCAAAAACAATGAGCAGCTGTAAAATTCAAAATGCGGAAATCAAAATGCTGTCTTTACAGACAATAATGTCTGTATAAATACAGGAGGGTTATTACTAACTTTTTTTGAAAATATTAAAATTCCTAATGTTGTATTTGATGATTATTGTTTATAAATTATTTTTCTCTGTACACGCGTACAGCTTCAGCAGTACTATTATTGTAATTAAAGTATTGAAATGCTACGGAAAAAACGGCGAAGTTTCGCCAGAAAAACGCACTGCCAGGCTCTGGTAACGATAAAGTGGATAAATCTTAATCACGTAGGTAGTAAATTACTTCCTCCATCACACTGTGTAGTCAGAAGCCACATGGAGGAAAACGTATGTCCATCCGTCTGTAAACAATCCAACCGGCTAAATTGCTCTACTGAATTCTATCTTCAATATAGTAGTTGTAATAAGACGGAAAATTAAATTTTAAAAAACTCGAGGAGTTCAATAAAAATGCGGGCAGAATAACTTGCTTTACCGATTTATTCAACATAAAAAAAATTAAAGAAAAATTTGGAGCCGGTTTTGAGAAAATAATTGTTTGAACGTTGTTTAAAACTTACTATCTCAGTCAAAAGTAGTAAAAAATAATCTTATTTTCGAAAAGTTGTTCATAATGTTATTTAAAGATGCCTTTGAAAAACGGATTTTATTGAAGAAAAAACATGTATTCAATATTGTAAATGGAGGAAGACTCCAAAAATGTTTGAACTTTTGCAATTTTGAAACATCAAGGATTTCAAGGAAATCTTCGCCATTCTTTTAAGTGTTTTCTACGTAATTCTAGGACAAAAAACGCCATTTTTTAGAACGCTTTGAAAATGCAATTGAGGTTTTGTGTAAACAATTCCCAAAAAATTAAAATATCCTCTTCAAACTCACAGGGTCCTGATTTCATTCAGATCGATCGGGTCAATCAATTTTTTGGTATCAAGAAATCAGAAAACATGGATGTCTACACAAAGTGTTGGAAGAAGTAATTCACTGTATATAAGAACGCACACGCACACGAGCACGCGCGCGCACACACACGCACACACGCACACACTCACACACGCGCGCGCGCACACACACACACGCACACACGCGCGCGCGCACACGCACACGCGCGCGCGCGCGCGAGCACACACACACACACGCGCGCGCACACACACGCACACACACGCACACACACGCGCACACACGCGCACACACGCGCACACACACACACACACACACACACACTTTTGTGTCACCAGCGCTCGGCAGTAAGATTTCCTTTCGAAAATTGATGCTTTTCCGGCTCACAATTACAATACGTCTTACAAAGAAGTGCGAGGAAGTAAAATCAGTGTTTTTAAGTATCTACATTTTTAATATGAGTAGTTAATATAAATATGAATAGTAAATATGAGTATTTTCAAATTCGAATTTTCAACAAATATTTTGCTAGAATCTTTCAGGAGTCATAATACTCGTATTGCAATAAAACACTGGAATCGTCGCGACACATTGATACACTTTTGATATTTGATATTCACAGAATAACTTGATGAATAACTTCATGGCAACATGAATAGCTTTTCATTATTGAGCAGTGTTTCTGGGTGTATGGAACGGGGTTTTGGATGGTCGTGTTGATGTATTACCTTTAAATGAATTACATTTTTGCGCCTAATGCCCTAAGAGTTTTAATGATTTTTACAAGTGATAACTGAAATGTGTTAATATAGTCACAAATTGCTGAATTATAAATTTATGTATCCGTTAGAAGCGAGAAAGTGTGTGCTCTTGCAGCACCGCTAGTTAAGAGTTAGTTTAGTTATTTGAAAACCTCCCGCACCCAATATAATTTCATTTATAAGGTGTAGGGAAATAACGAATTAAATTTGCTTGAAACTGTGCTTCCTCAATTGCCATTGCTAATGGCATCTAATCCCTTTGCAGAATGTTTTTTTCAGATTGGAATATGTTTGAACGTTGTTGGTAATCATGTACCACGTTATATGAAAAGGTTTCGTGAGGCACGTTAATATGGTAAACAAAGAGAAACAAGGGAGTGTTGTAGTTGTTGATAGTAACATGACCTTAATGAAAGAACTCGCTATGGAGAACAAATTTTATTTCAATGAAAAATCTCTATTTTTAATTTTATATTTTTAAGAAGACACTGAAAAAATTCAAACTTTTGCGATTATCGAATATTTAGAGTTAAACCTGAAAATCTGTCCTACACCACCTTCATAAGTATATTTTACTCTATTCTTGCAAGAAATTTAAAGAAAAATCGTTTTGGAGCCGTTTTTGTGAAAATCTTGAAAATGTCTTCATGTAATGTACTCCCAAGTTTTAAAGATTTTTTTCAAAATTTCAAAGAATTAACTGAAGCCTGATCGACACGCGTTTCTTCAATTTGGAAATAATCCTACGCATGGTTTAGGCGCTAGTTGTGTTCACAGGCGGACAAGCGGACAGACGTTTTTAAACTGATGGTGATACAGAATGGCACAGGCTTTCCCGTATTATTTTTCTATTTTCTTTGGTCTCGGCTATCTACAAGGACTTGCCACATACCCTTGTCAACTGCCATGCATCGCCGCCCAAAAGACATTTTTTTGACAATTTCCTAATTTTTCAGTTTCCTAATCGTAGAACCGAAATATTATTTTAAGATTATTAAAGAACAGTAAAACTTCGTCGTAAATGGCAATTTATTTCAAAAAATTAAGCGGTACTGTAAATGCAAAATTTGAACCTCGACTTACAGAAAACTATAGAGTTTCTGAAAATCTTCATATGAAGTTATTTTAAGCACTTGCAGTCACAAATACAATTATGCTCACAAATTGCTGGAAATTTGCATACTAAAGCTATGAGAGATCTTTCAAATAATTATCTACTGTTTAATATCGTAATCTATCTGTAGCAAGTATTGTAGTGTAATCCCTAGGCCAATGACACCATCTCGATCAGGTTTTGTTCAGTTTCCCTGGTCCCTTGAGCAAATGCTGAGATGGCCCCTTGTTTGCTCCTGAACAGTAATGTAACTTAGCTTTCTCCACCCAAGACGACATATTGACTCGTCATACACGATTGTAATTGTATATGTGACTCAATATTATAAATTATTATTATAAATTATAAATACGTCGAAATCATTTGTAGAAATAAACTAGTCAGAGGGTTTGAAGACTTTTCGAGGGAATATAAAACATGTGACGGATGTTTGCAGGGAAAGTTTACAAGACTTCCGTTCAAGGAGATAGTCATTAGAAGTGTTTCACATGTTTTAGAGAAATTGCACGGGGCCCCATGCCGGTGACTTCACTGGGAGTTAGCAGATGTTTGTTGTTGACTGTTGATCAATACAGTCGCAGGAATTTTTTGTTGAACTTTTGAAAGATAAACATCAATGTGCGGATACGTTGGTAGAATTCTTTAGAAGAGAGAATGAAACGCAGTCCCAAGTGAAATGTATTAGGACTGATAATGGCAAGGAATTCATCAACGTGACCCTACAATTTTTAAGGCTACACCGCAAAGCAACGGAATAGCTGAAAGGGCTAATAGGACTGTTTTAATGCCACGAAGACGATGTTAATAGATTCGGTATCAATTGCTCCCAGTGAACGAATTCCGCCATTTTTTTCTTTAAAAATTGGCAAAAGTTAATTTATCTAAAAATATTTATTGTCTAAGCAAATTAAAATTTTCTGGGAGTCCTTGGTTTCTATTACTTGGATTTCAAGATCCATAGTATATAGCACTTCTGATCAACAATTAAGCTTAAATTGTTTTGTTCAGTACATTGTCAATTTATTGTGTACACATAACGTACATGTTGGTGGAAAAGTAATGTTCATATGTTGCAATGGTATGACCACTTGATTTACCTTCACAAATAAGTTTTATACTACATATTATAAGCACATAGGATTTTAAACTAGTATAACGTCTTCAAAATAATTAAAATCGGCAATTAAGATTTCGCATAGATATTTACATTTACTTTTATGACTATGATCCATCAATTACGTTTTAGTACCTATTTCTATTACTCCGGGTCTATCAACAAGCGTACTCATGCGAGAACTCACATATTATATTCTACTTAAAACAGTAACTTCCTTCAGGGTCACGTGTTGGTAGGAGATACATTTTAAACCTTTTTTATGAATACTACTAGCCGTTTTCTTAACAGCTACTTCGGTCTTCCGGCGCCTATTCTTCTTAAGTCTTCTCTGTTCTTCCAAAAATCAGGTTATTTCTCCTTCTCGATTATATTTCTGATCCGGTCGTTCCATCCTGGTTTTGGTCGTCCTCGTTTTCTCCCTTCACTTGGTTGCCAATCTAGAAATATTTTGGAAAACCTTCTCTCGTCCATTCGCTGTACATGTCTAAACCAAGTGAGCTGTTTCTTTTCAATTTCCTGTA